CCCTAAACATGACCTACAGCGAGCCCTTCGGCCCTCGTTCCTTATCGTCAGTCACAAGGGCTCCTCGAGCCTCTCTCGATGTACCCTTCTTTGTCCTCGTGTCCTCTTCGTTTAACGAGCCGTAATGTTCGGCTCGGCTCATCCCGCTGATTTTGGGCGGCCCCTAACCTCGGCTCAGGCCTTCCCAGCCAGCGGCATGTAGCAAGCACCGAAGCGACTCCTTCACACAGTTGAGGTGATGCAGGCACTTAAAATCATTGAGATATAGTGGTATTCAGTCTGGTTTTACGACCGAATCAGAAGTCATCATGAAATAAAAGGGCCCATCGGTATGGGGCCCATCGGCTGGGGACCCCTCATTAAGTCCTTGTCCCCCTCATCCCACATTGCTCACGCCATCACTGTTGTGGGTAAGTGCGCATAACCACGTAGCCGACACGTGACACTCAATGGCGAGTATTCTGATGTGCTAATTACAAGCGCTTATCTGTCTTAGGTTCAGAATGTAATCCGTGTGAAAAGCGAAAAAAGTACATTCTTACGGATCAATGCGTATATGAGCAAACCGATCAGGTAGGATTAAATGACAAGCATGATCGGATGCTCTGCAAGCTTATATTCCGACAAGCCGATGCAATTCAATCGACGTAGGAAGTGAATACACCTATGGGGAGGGGGGCAAGGACACTATGGAGGAGAAATAAATGCCCACCTTTCTTGAAATTTGGTATTGGCGCCACGGACTTTGACTGAAAAAGTAACAAAAAAGGCTGTATAAGCCCCTCCAATTAAGGAGAATTTCCGTTGCCCCTGTGCTCAAAATCATGAGCCGGGTAGCGCATGCGCTGAACGATTATCCCAAACCTTTTTGCGAGGCACAGTGTTACGGGGACCCGTGCCGAGCAAGGTTCATTTAACGAGTCGTAATGTTCGGCTCCGCTTACCCTGCCGATCTTGGGTGGCCACTGAACCCTGCTCAGGCCGTCTCAGTCAGCGGTATAGAGCAGGCACCGAAGCAACTCCTTTCTTGTTGCAAGGCACAAATGCTGCCACGGAATACTGCACAAGTAGTGACCGATACCAACACCGGCCGGCGATGAGCCATGCTCACACTGACGCGCGTGCAGCCCCTGATTCTTTGCACTCGTGACTGTTGGTTGACATCGTTGCGGTTTCGTGGCTTTTGAGCGGTCGTGGAAAAACAAACTATGCTCAGGGGTGTAGTATTTGTAGTGATTGCAGCGCGTTGCCACTTGCATGAAACACACAGAGATTCATCGCTGTACAGTAACGATGTTCTGGGTAAATAGAACAGGGCCCCAGATACCGTTCTTGCACACACCCGGGTTACGTGCTGCGTGCCCTTGCCCTTAACCCCCGTTTGTTTATCTCATACGTGCTGTCCACTCCCGAGTTCATACGTACTCTTCACCTCCACTTGTTCAGCTATAATGCTGCCCCATACCACTTGGGCGTTAAACAGAGCAACGCAAAAAAAGTCTCAAGAACGCAGCATACGTTTCTTGACACTCACGGTAACTGTACAGGTAGATGTGGACCGGCCACTCTCGGCCCCGCGCACAGGTAAAGACCGAGCTCGGGCCGTCTCGTAGGCAGACACAGACTAAGCACGGATGTAGGCGGGTACGGGTCGAGTACGACCGGCCCCGCCGGCAGGTACAGACCGAGCACGCCGGAATATAGGTAGGCATGGACCAAGCACGGTGCATGTAGCACATCTAGCGTAAATAAAAATGCAACGAACAACACACCCGCCACGCTGGCCACTCACGTGCACCCTCGGCGGCCCTATGAGTACGGGGCGCGAGGCCGTATGAGGCCGAAGGTTGCATTGTAATGTCTTGCCGCCTGTAAAGGTTGCGACGCGTGTCACAATATTCATAATCAAATCTACGCAATCGGCTCGCTGCTCACACTCGTCTGCTAATCACAGCTTGTTCGTTGTTGGTATGCAGACAGTCCGATGTTCCTGCCGTCTTACTGCGAATAAGTGTTGCACATGCGTCTTCAGTTTTCATGCTATTGCATTCTGTTGATATGCCGTATAGGCTTGCAGGGCACATCATACTAATCGCATAAAATTCCACGTAATCGGCTGGTTTATCACATACATTTTCCGCTATCGGCATTTTATTTGTATCCGCAAAATCATTTCGATGTTCCAATTGCTCCTCGGTATTGCGTCCGGCGTCTCGCGGCCAGTCACGCATTGAAGCGTTGGCCCCAGTGACGTCATGATAACCTTAAGCGAGAAAAAAGCCAGAATCATCGGATGGTTTAGCTGTCTTTTACGGCCTTGAAAATTCAGTGCGAACAGTTCCTGTAATGCTTAGGGGATATTGAACGTGTAAGGGTACATGTGTTAGGTGGTAACTGCGGAAATTACTGAGTTACGAGGTAAGGAACGGTGTTATTTTTTCAGGTAATTCTTGGTGTACTTTTTGCGCCAGACGCTATGTGGGTGAAAGTTCAGTGGTGCACAACAAGTCATGCTACAGGTTTGAGCAACTTGTGCAGCTACAAAACGTCCAAAAATGCCTCACCTGTAGAATTATATACACTTTTTAACTTAAATATGGAGACTTAACAGATTACATGATCTCGTTATTTATGTCCTTGGAATCTGACATTGCATATGTCATGCTGTTCGCAATATGGATGGATACCAGTTTTGAGAGCAAATATTAGAGTTTGAACAAAGCGAAATATCTGGTTTTGTGTGCAAACGTGGAAGGGTGTACATAGGAAGGTAGGAAGGTAGGAAAAGTAACTTCTTTAGGAGTATTGATATCTGTCAAGGATTGACATCAGGGCTCAGTACTTTGGGACATTTCTTGGCCGTCACGCACTGATGTAAGACATGGGCTTGGTTTTCCCGCATGATTAGGGGCCCGAGACCCACAAAGACTCCCCATGATGTGATGTTCCCTTTATGATTACTAATTTTTACTCTTATTAAATGCATAATGCCATAAAGGGATTGTTTCACCTTTGAAGACATTGAAGCAAGCATCAGATAAGATGAAGTATGCTCACTTGGTATCATTTGGTATACTTTCTAAGTGGAAGACCATTCTAGACAGCACAATTTTTTGCTTAGTTAATGTGCTCCTTAATGTGTTATGGTTTTATTAAGTATGCATACCATGCACAGCAATAATTCAGGGCTAATTGGCAGCCATTCACCTAGAGATCACTCTCAAACACCCAATATGAACATCTCATGAACTATATTTTTGCCTAGATTGCCCCACATGTTATGGAACAGAAATATTCGAATGACCTTGTTATGGAGTCTTGTCTTGAATACTGAGATGATTTGAAATACCTTTACCCATATATACCTTTTCTCATTTCACTCAAGTGTAACTCAGAAACAAGAGAGGCTTAGATATTACATGGGGCAGGATTGTGAGCAGCTCCAAAAGTTTTTGCAAGTTGGATTTTCAGTTAAGAACCTCATACAAATTTGGAATACTCCCTTTAAGTACTCTTGGCCATCACTCATTATGATCTCACTGAGAATGTGTACCAGGCAAACAATATAACAAAACAAATAGCATGATATAATGTCATTAATAATGTCATAAAAGAAATAAGTGCTAGTAGTCTTTACCATTGCACCACAGGTGGTGGCAGCTGGTATGTGTGAATTTCTGTCCGCATCAAAGTCAATATTGCTTCTCAGTGCTGGTATTGTCATTGAGGCTTTACAACATGTTCAGCTGATGAAGCTATGGGGTTTCATCTGCTGTTAATTGTGGCAGGAATGGCTGGCATTGCATATAATTAAACTCTATTTCTAGCATCCTTGATCTTGGTGTGTGTGCTGGAATGTTTATAAATTTAAGATTTTTATGAATGTAATATTTTAATTAATGTGCCCTTGCAGCAATGATGTTAAATGACATGGTGATAGGACACTTGATGAGGACACTATACATAGTGTTAGGACACATTAAATAAGCGACACATAGGACACTATAGGTGTGCTTGATCTGCAAGGGTGCCCATACCTCCAAACATTCTGCAACCAAGGCTATTCATTCTACACACCCTCCTGGGTAATGTACCCACAATTTTGTCTAAGATGTGGGCAGATCTGACTGAGCAACTCCTGGCAGCCTAGGCTCTCTCTTGCCTCAGCTAAGAGTGTCTCTCTTGATGGGCTCTGAGTTTTTTATTTTGGAGGCCTTGTTAAGCTCTAGAGGCCTCTTGGAATATGCCTGGTGCCTGCACTGTTGATTAACTATAGGTTCTGCCCATTACAGGCTCTTTTCCCAGCTTATCCAAAAGTTGTGATAGTATCCTGTTCCCCTTGAAGTGACATTTTCCTGCATAGAGGCTGCAAAGATTACTTGAGGCAGAAAACCAGAGTTTTTTTGCCAGTTTGAGATGCCATAGAGTACTTAGGGAGCCTATATGTTTGAGGCAGCTACTGTTGGGGTGCCAAGCCAGAAAATTGGACCTCCTGATTTCAATATAGAGTGTTTGAGCCATTAAAAGAGGCCAAACAGATACTCATACCAAATTGAAGTATTAACAGAGAGCTTGGAGTGCCTCTATCACAGTCAAGAAAATTTCACTGAATGTATATATATATATATATATATATATATATATATATTTAATATGCCAATAATAATATGCCAAATATGCCAATGGGCAATTTGACAATTTTTAGGCTCATTTTCAATTAGTACAGTACATTGGTCTTTCATATGGACAGAATGCTGTGAATTGTATTTATCATGAAGTGTCTGAGTGTGTCTGAATATTTTAATTTGTTTTTTCATTGGGTACCTAGATGATGTACCTTAACCCGACAATGTGTAGGTGTTGCTCATTTCAATGAAGGGATTGTAGATCATTCCAGAATAGTATTTCTGGATGATCATCCAGCAGCTATTGAAAGGTGAGCACTGGCATCATGCTTTCCTTCAACATTGCATTGACAGTTGGCTCTGTCTTTCAGAGACGTCTGCCAGTGGTGCTCACCACCGTCACCTGCCAGCAAAGCCCTCCAGTGACGTCCTTCAGTGACGTGAACCATGGCCGCCTCGCGTGACACGCTGCTGGACAGCCTGGAGAACCTGCCGCAGGAGCTGAAGCAGAACTTCGCCATGATCCGCGATCGCAACAACAAGTGCGACACGCTGCAGCGGCTGATCGACGAGCGCTGCGACCGCTACCTGGCCGGCCTCGGGCCCGAAGGCGGCTCACACCCGCCGGACAGTATCGTCAAGATGTACGAGAAGCTCAAGAAGCACAGCGAGCACAACGTGGCGCTGGCGACCAAGACGTACGAGCTGGTGGACAAGTACATCCAGAACCTGGACGTGGACCTGGCCAAGTTCGAGGCGCAGGTCCAGGGCCAGGCGGCGCGGCCGGCCGACAAGCCGGCCCGCCCCAAGAAGAAGGCGAAGGCGAGCCGCAAGTCGCGCAAGACGGCCGACGAGGACGCGCTCTATGCCAAGGCCATCAAGAGTCCGGTGGCCGTGGAGGCGGCCATCCGTCAGCTGATCAACCCGGCGCAGCCCGTGTCCACCGACGGCCTCGACATGCCGGTGGACCCGAACGAGCCCACCTACTGCCTCTGCAACCAGGTCAGCTACGGCGACATGGTGGGCTGCGACAACACGGACTGCCCGATCGAGTGGTTCCACTTCTCGTGCGTCGGCCTCACCTCCAGCCCGCGCGGCAAGTGGTACTGCCCCCGCTGCATCAAGGACAAGAAGAAGTAGCGGCGCCGCTGTCGCCCGCCGGGGGGGGGGGGGGGGGGGGGTTGGACGATGTGGTCGCCGGTGTCGAGCCGGACGCTGCGCCGGCAGACGTCGGCCGGGCGCGGCGCCGGCCGCCTGAAGTACAAGCGTGTGGTGATAGTGCGAGTGCGGGGTCTGGTCTGCTGTGGAGGACCCTGCGTATGCGTCCGGTACAATGCACGCGGACTGTGGCCGCGTGTGCTGGTCTGAGAACGGTGAGTGAGAGCGGTGGTCTGCGCACCGTCTCCACACAAGGTTCATCAAGTACAAGTTTGGGCGGGTGCAATGCGAACTATGGCCGGTCAGGGTCGGGACGAGGCGGTCCTGGACCTGCCAGCGATCGCGCGTTGTGTGGTGTGCTGCCATCCAGCGTGGAGGTGGAAATGTTTTGTTCTCATCCGCTTGAGTTGTGACGTCACGGGGCGCCGTGAAAAATTAGGCGTCATAAGTTTGACTGAATGCTCCCATAAATCCAGCATAGAGCAGTTCGATACCACCAGGCCTATATCAGTGAATGTAAAGAAATTGATTTAACGGAAACAGCTAAAGAACCGACTCATCTGATCTCCGGAGCCATCCGTGGCCCATCCCCACACGACCGTGGGCGGGACACCGGTGCGTTCCCGGCGCGGTGAGCAGCACCCATGTGACACCATGCGTTTGCCATGCAACGCCCACGTGCTACGGCATGTTTGTTCTGCAGCGCCCATGTGCCACGGCATGTTGGCTCGTTGACAGAGGTTGCATGAGCGGTTTTCCCGTTTGGCATGTGCCAGTTGGACCAATAAGTGTTCCAATTTCCGTACTTTTGGTGCGAACTTGTGGATTGTGTGCCGGTGTGACTACATGCCCGGCGAAAGGGTGAGTCGGTGTGATGTGTCCGCTGCCGTCACACGTGTGATGTGAACATTGCAGTCACGTGACGCAGTGATGTAGTGATCCGCGCGGTTTGTGTTCAGGTCGCACGCTGATGCGGTTCTTGACTTCATGACGGAGTCGAGGCAGATATTATAAAGCGCACATGTTCTCACTGTCTGACAATGCCGCGACGCAATGTTATGCCGTCTGCGTATGAACCGACTCCACACTGCCCTCACGCCATTTGATGTGTTGTGAGATATTTGTTGCGCAGCTTTTGTACGCAGTAAAGTTCGTGTTGTGTGTCGTGACGGGCGAATACATATGATCCCACTGCTTGATGGCGTTATCCTTACTTACGGAACGTCTGGTTCCCTGGAAGCCCTGATTCAGCCGGCTTCATCATGCGGGTTGATATAACGGCGCTGAGCGTATCCGGTATGGTTATTTTTATTTATTCGTGCGCCGTGGCTGCAGCTGCCGCAAAGCTACTGAAATCGGACTGACAACTCCTGCGACTGACATGGAGAGCTGGCGCGACCGAGGCTGATCACGATCGATCGTTGATCTGGAAACGACCGCCAGGTCCGCCTTGGGCGACTGCGCTGTTGCGTGAGGCCCACTGACCCCTTAATACCAGTCCGAGCGTGTGAAGGAATTCTTTGATCATCTGGTGATAAAAGCGTTGTCACCCGGCACGCCCGCGCTCCAGGATATGCTCCAAAATAGAGGGGCGGAGATCAGAATGTACCTAATTATAAAAGACTGAAGGGAATTGCTCGTAAAACATCGTGACAGCTGTCGTGCAGTTTCCTCAGAAGGGTAAGATCATGAAATTTTTTGTTGCGTATTATGTCGTTATGCATAAAACCATACTGCGATACATTCAACCTGGGCTGAGAAATCCCATGGGTGTGTCTCTCGCTTATGAAATTAGCTTGGTCACCTTTTCTAAAACTGGCGTTTGAGCCGGTTTCGATTCAGTTAAACCGGCGTTATACATAAGGCTTATTCGATCAAGTCGAGTTCCAGATCGTGAACCACCAGCCTGCCACCTATAACCTACATCTCTAAAGTGCCTCTTGTATAATGCCCTGAAATGTTTGTACCAATTGTACCTATATTACCAGATAGCTGGCAATGGCTAATGCTCCATCGGTAGCGTTGCCCTCTTTTGGACGCCGGAAGACAGGTGCTTGCTTCTCTCTCTATTTGCGATGTTGGTGAATGATGCGCCCAATAAAGCTCTTCATAGAGTGGAGAGAGCCTTGGCTTCACGAATAAGCTATCGATTGAACACGATCGAACCGGAGAATTTCCACACGACACCAATTGGGACAATATGCGATTGACATTTTGGCCAGGGTAGTGAAATTGAAAAGTGTGCGACGTTCAAAGTATATTTAAACCGTAACGGGAAAGTGTGTCTAAATATGCATAACGAACGGGACGTGACAGTATTGTATTGACTATGAAGGAAGGAACATTCACTCTAGCAGACTAGGGTGGCTCGGGTTAAGACTGCGGAAAGACAAGCTAGTGGTAGGTTTAGCATGCCTTCGGGTGAAAGTCAAACTAACCCTCAAAGGTTTTTACGAAATGATTTCTGACCGCTGCGGCGTAGCCACGCCAGTTTTGGCATAGCCTTAGAAAATTAAATGTCGGATGTCTAAATGTAAAAAATATACGCATCTTGTAAGGTCGCCAACCTATGGTAGGTCAAATTCAGGCCATGGCTGTCAGCAAACGGCATTTCTAGGGAATCGTTCAATGTGATAAACCAACGATATGTGAGACAAAGCAATGCATATCTGAGATAGTTTTTTAGACGACGGGCCAATTAAATTTAGAATTAAAGCTAATTGCATTGAGTAATTCCTTGGGTAAAGTATGAAGGCCAGAACGAGGTGAAAGCTAACCTGCTGTTCTTTTTGATAGCTTGGTTTAGTAAGGTGGTTTCTGGTGCTCATTTCGAATTTACCAATGACATGGACCGCAACACATGTCTTATGGATTTTGTAAAGGTCAGGGTAGGTCACTGACCTCGAGTAACCTAGGTCAGTATTTTGTTGCTAAGAACATGCCGTTTAGCGTAATTCCTGACGCTTCTTAGCAAAATAGGAACAAGTTCGTGGGTATTGAGTTACCTTTACCTTATAAAGGTCACACAAGATCCATTAATTAATAAACCTTTCGTTTAGAACAGGTATCTAGCTTCGCGGCGTTTGCATGAGGAGGTCTGGAGATACTTGAGACACCAATCTGGAGTTTCACCTTGTTTGACCTTATTCGATGCCAAGGTCATGTCCTATGAACTTTAAATTTTGGCAAGTGTATTCACGTACAGGTCAATTTACGCTGTGGATTTAATGTCTTAAGCTATCTTAGCTTCTTAGACCTTAGGGGGTCAAATTGACCCCACCCGAGCAAACGGTATTCAACCGGCCACCCGGGCGCGGGGTGATTTAAAATTGTGAGTCGGGTACGACTGCAAATACACATGTCATGGAAGGCGAATATCGTGCCAACGCAATCTGTGAAAAATACATTGTTAGTGAAACTAGGACGCAAAATGAGCGTGTTATTGTACGATGTTCAGTTATAATGCTAAGTTTCGGTTCTGAGTGGCGTCTTCATACAAAAAGACTTCAATCACCTTGCCAATAATCGGCATATTGGAAACTTGCTGAATGCGGCGCAGTACAAAGTCTTAAAGGTTGGACTTAAGTGTAATCTCGTCCTAGTTTACACAGCAACCTCAAGAGAAAGTGTAATCTCATCCTAGCTTACACAGCGACCTCAAGAGAATTAAAGCACGCACCTTTCATTGGAGACCTAGTACTGAGGCCTATACTAGAGGCTGAGGAATAGTACGGTTGTGTTATTTTGGCTTGTCACTGGCTTCCTGACGTCACGGCAAATGTTACCGCCTTACGTTGGGAATGTGCAGTCTGTGTTTGAGTGTGGTCGCGTGATATGAGAAGAATAGCAAAGACGCGGGCTGACCGCCTGGACCGGTTTTGGCGAAACTTTACAGTCTGACGAGTCTTTCACGTGCACATATGCCCGACTCGACCATTAACCTCGGATTTGTTAACCTCGGAAACCTCATATACAGCCTAACTTACTAACACACAGGGAAGCAGTGCATTATCCTATTTGCACATAAATAGGATAATGTAAACAAATTTTCATGTCCTTTCGAGGAAGTTTTTTACTTTCAAGATTTCCCCTGCACATTTGGACCCAATTTTTCTGCGTAACTACGTACGCACTTCTCCGTGCGCGCTCTGTCAGTGATCACACCACCTAGAGCATGGTGTTCACACGCACCCGTGCCACCTCAATTACCTTTCTTGTCACTAAACGTGACGCCAAAGGCGATTTCAAACTGCGCCCAGATCTTGCATGAGGTTTTTTTAAAACATCGCCATGTGTCGTCGTTCACGGTGATGTTCGCGCCGGCACATGCACTCGTCCCACGCCAGTTGATTTAATTTACCTGTCATTGAGGCCTACCTATCATAAAATGTCCAGTTGCACTCGTCATTTCCTAATGCCACCCGAAAATTACTGTTTTTAGTCCCAGTCTTGCGGTTGGTAGTGCGGAGCTTGGATCGTGGCGCCGTCCTGTGTTAGCCCTGGGAACTACATTTTGAGCGGGCGGAGCAACGCGGGCCGTGACGTCGTGACGTGACCAGGTGTAATCGGACGTGACGTGATCAGACGTGACGCGACCAGATGTGACGTGATCAAATGTGACGTGACCAGGTGTGATCGGACGTGACGTGACGTGACCAGGTGTGATCGGACGTGACATGATCGGACGTCACGTGACCAGACGTGACGTGATCAAACGTGACCAACCGTGATCAGACGTCACGTGACCATACATTACGTGGCGTGGCGTCTCTCTTCACTGCGATTCTGTTACAAAATATTTCTAGCAATGTTGAGAAACAGCACATAGGTGCTTTCATTCAAATGTTTTATTCGTTGACAGCAGCGTCACGACCACATGTGTTATACCGCACAGTCGTCACAAACAAATAGGCACGCACAGTAATGCCTACGTCACAACGGGTCACCTGATGATTTGGCCGCCGCATCTCTGCCGAAAGCTGATAGATGGGGTGGGATGATCGCTCGCAGCACTTCAACAACACGGCCATTATGAATGCGCTACATCGGTGCAATCCTGCAGCGGACATTCACACATAGGTACGTACTGACACCATGGATGGTGCAGACTTTGTGGATAAAACGTAAAAGCTTCACGAAATTACACGTCGTCACTAAAAACGGCTGAAAACGCGAGAAAATCGATAGAAACACGCTCGACATCCGCGGTGTGTGGTGGCGCGCCCACACACGCAATAAATTACACGCTGAGGCCGAAGCAAGCCCGGGTAGAGTCAGTGGCCCCAGACCAACCCTGCCACCGGCCCGTCCCCACATCCCAGCCAGGACCGCCCGGCGGACCCTAACCACCGGTCCGTCCTCACACCCGCAGCCAGCAGGCCCCCGGTCGGCAACCGGTACCGGCCTGTCCTCACACCAACCCAGGCCAGCAGGCCCCCCGGGCGGCACCGTACCCGGCCTGTCCTCAACAGCCCCAGCCAGCCAGTGCCCGTCCGGCTGCCTGCCACCCACCGGCCCGTTCCTCACAACCCCACCAGCAACCCCGCCTGGCGGCCTGCCACCAGTCAGTCCTCACATCCCCATCCAGCAGTCCGTCCGGCAGGCCCCACGCCTGCCACCGGCCCTTCCTCACACCCCAGTCACAGCCGCCCGGCGGCCCTACCACGCGTCCGTCCTCACACCCCAGCCAGCAGCCCGTCCGGCGGC